CGTCCCCGCGGGTCCGCGGCCCCGGGCCCACGCCCTGGGGCGGACGCTGCGCCACTGACCGGCTGGGCGGCATGGCTCTCCTCCCGCGGGGGCGGACCGGCCGCGGACTCCGAGCCCGGGCATGGGCTTTTGTTTCCGAAGCCCGCTGGCTGCTGACTAAGGGCCGCGCCGCCCGCCAGCCTCCTCCCCGCGGCCGCACGTGCCGGCTCCGCCTCGGGCCACCTCCCGGTCCCCCGCCCCCCGCAGGCCAGGTCACCACGCCCCGTCCTGCGCGCGGGGAAGGCGGTCAGGAGCCCCGCCAAGCCCCGAGGGGCCGCAGACCCAGCGCCCTGCTCGGCCGAGGGAACGGGGTGAAGGCGCCAGTGTATTCAGCTAGTAAAAGGGATTTATTCATTTAATAAACCTTTAGTATGGAGACTGAGGGCCAAGGGCTGGAAACGCAAGTGAAGCAACAGCGTGTGCTTGGCCCGCAGCAGTTCTCAGATCATGCGTTCCCGAGACGCGGCGCACCTGGGGAAAGGAAGCCACATTTTAATGCAAGGGGGTTTCTTTGTGTGCCCCCAACAGCCGACTGAAGAAATGTGTAACAAACCATCCCCTAACTCACCATCTTGCACTTCCCTGGGGAGTATCTCCTGCTGCAGGGTTCCAGGTAAATTTGGTCCCCTGGCTATTTCTAACCCTCTGCTTTAGCGTGGGACACCTCCGGCCAAGACTTCCCGGTGCCCTCTGAATCAGAAACCAGAGGAAATGCCACTTTTTTAAACAAGAAGAGGTTTTAGGGACAACTTGCTCTGTCCAAGTCGGAGTCACCATACTGTGCTAACAAATGACATTCTCAAGGCCTTACTCTTGGACATGAAAAAAAAGCAAAGTCACACGCGAGTGGTTAAGAAGTGAAGCCAGATACACAAGTCACGATCGTTTACTTGGCTCCAAACTGACTTTCCTTAGTGTCTTTAAAAATGACTCCACTTTGGAAGGCTTAATCAGTATACCTTATTTTGCAGGGTCACATTTCTTTCTTTTTTTAAAGGTTATTCATTTATTTTTATTTTTCCCATAATTTGATTGAGAAACAAATAGCAATGAGACAATTTCAAACCAAATTGGTAGGACAATTTCAATAATTAACACATTGCATACATTCTTCCTAGTGGTTAACTGCTGTATAAGATGCAGACTTGATATCCTAACACCATTAGAATAAATCACTTTATTCATTAAGAGAATGTAACTATATATCTATCCTAACCACTTTGAATACACAGATACAAAATGGACATTCATCTGTAGCCCCCTTTTTTTTTTTTGCTTAGTTCCGTCATTTGAATCTTATAGGTGTGTTAACTCAGCAAAATATTCTAAAAGAGCCCAGTAGCCCATAATAGTATTGGGTCTTCCGCTTGACTGGCAATGTCAGAAATTGTTGACCTGAGTCCCCCACAGCTCAACAACATAACAGCATGGCTTTACTTCTTACGTTTTCCGCTGGATGTTTAAGACCAAGGTAAAGCAGGACCTATGCAACAAGAGTTCTAGCTTTTGGGTCTGAGAAGGTCAGTGAAATCCCCACATTTCTTGAGGAAAGTTAATTAAGCCTTCCCTGTTGACTCCTAGCAATCCGCCTTCTGCCTTCTTCGGTGCAAGCCATTTCTCTTCAGACTGCCTTGGGGGCTTAACGATAGGCGGCTAAGGCAAATGAAACGAGAATCAACATGTACTGGGGACTTCAAATGGGACTGGCACTGAAGTAGGTGGGCGAAAGCACCTTTTTCTCATGGAATCCTCACAACAATCCATAAGAGAGATATATGTATTATTGACAATTTTATAAATGTGGTAACTGATGTCCCAAAAATCTAATTTTCTTAAGTTTGACGGCTGTATTTGCGCCTGGGTTCTCTGCACAGTCTCATTCTGTCACACCCTGCTTTTCCTTATTTTCTTCCACTGTTTCAGTTATACACTGAAAAAGTCACATGGCGTGGTTCTCTTCATAGCAGCTGCTGAAGCGGAAGACGCCCACAGGGAGGACCCCACTGGCCAGGTATGGCCTGCAGCTCCCGCCCTCCCCCGCTAGGGGCGCTAATGCACACAGGCGTTCCGAAGCCTTCTAGGGAGGGTATAAAGATGAGTCAGTCATCTTGGAATTACCGTTCCTTCTTGCATGCCCAACGCTGATAGAAAATGGGGAAGCAAAGTAAATTTGTATCAACAGCAAACAAAGTATCGGAGCAAAAGTCACTGTTCTGTGAATTCCCTCCAAACAAGGGCGGTGATCTGAGAAAACGTTACCACACGGTGCTATGCAACCCCAAACTTTATAAAACCTCACATTCTGGAAAAACTGCAGAAAATGCAGCGAATTGTACTTTGCCAAGAGGAAAAGAGAGAGAAGGAACAATAGCAACTCCTCGAATCAAGGCCATGACGGTATCTGTGCTGTTTTTATTACCAAAACATAATCATCCTTTTTTTTTTTTTTCTTTCAGAAGCGGGAATTGAACTCAGGCCCTTGCGCTTGCCGAGGAAGCAATTATTCCACTGAGCCATCTCCCCAGCCCCATAATCATCCTTTGTGTACTAAAATAAAATCAATACCAAAATTGGTACTTACGTGTAATTATTGCAAAGAAACCAATATTTTGTCTTTACATACTGTAGTAGCCTGGTGTGGTGGCACCTGCCTGTATCCCAGCAAAGTGAGAAAGGAGGATCAAGTTCCCACCTAACCTGAGCAACGTGGTGAGGTCCTGTCAAAGTAAAAGCAGGGCTGGGGGTGTGGGTCAGGCTGAAAGCCCTGAGATTAAGAACAAGTGCTGGGGGAAAAATCACACTTTGGTTCATATTGCCTACAAATGGTTTTAAAACTTTTGATTTCAGGTAAATATTTTACCAAAATCATTGGATTAAAAAAAAATCCCATAATCTATGCACAGAACTTTTTTAATCATAAAACTCCCATGGTGCTACCCCTTTGTTTATGCATCCCCCCCAACATTAAGTTGTTCTCCATGTCTGGGGTTTTATCATCTGAAGACTGTTATATTAATGGGGACAGTGAGCATGTAGTATTTTGATATTGATTGTTTTTTAAAACTAAGCATAATGCCCTTGAGGTCCATTCAGGGTGTTAGAGCTATTAATAGTTTGTTCCTTTTTGTTGCTGAGTAAATTTCTTTTATATGGATGGGCCACATTTTGTTTCTTCACCCACAGAAGGATACTTGAGCCGTATCTAGTACTTTGCCATCAATTAAAAACATTTGTGTGTAGATTTTTATTTGAACATGAGCTTTTTCCCCTTTGTCATGAATTCGATGGCTGAGTTATGTATCACATAGACTGTTGATTTAGTTTCTAAAGTCATTGTACCTATTACAGTCCCACCAACCACATGTGAGAGGAGCTAGTATTGGTATCATTACTTTATTTTACAAAACCTCTGCTCTACAAAATTTTTGTTCCAGTCATTGTGTGGACAGCTCAGTGTAGTTTCAGCCTGTACCGTCCTAATGGCTAAATGGTACTCAACTCTTCTTTACAGGGCTGGGCATTGAACCAAAGCCTGACAGGTCCTCGCAAGGGCTCTCCACCGAGCCACACCCCGCCCTTTTCTGTTGGACATCTTGTTGTGGAATTGTTTGCCTGCCTTACCTCCTCTTTGCTAACCAATCTGTTCAGGCCTTTTTCCTGTCTCACAGTTGGTTTGTCTACTGTTGAGTTTTTAGGCATTTTACACATACTGAGGCACATTTTTCAAATTGGAAATTAAATACCTGTAATGCCTTAAAGAACTCAATTTTAACTCAGTGACTGTAGTTTCACATCGCTGCTGCCAGCAGTTGTGTGAAAACCACTCTTGGGTGTCAAGTACTTACATATGACTTCTGTAGAGGTGTTTCACTGGGCACAGGCGGCTAACCGACGCCACGGATCGCGCGTGCGCAGCCCCGGCCTGGCCTTGCGCGCAGGCGCTGGCCTAAGCTGAGGGGAGTTTCCGGCTGCTCAACCGTTTGGGGTCCGGAAGATTGTTTTTTTTTTTTTGGCACTGGAGATCGAACTCTGGACTTCGCACTTGCCAGGCAGGCGCTTATGCCACTGAGCTACCTCTCTGGCCCCAGGGGTCCTGAATTTAATGCTGTTTGGAAACTATTATCCAGGATGAAGAATTTGAGATGTTCCAGAGAAATTTCATAGACGAATACTCATGAGGACAAGGGAACAAACCCGCTCATGGCCCTGTGTGTGTCTGGCAAGCGGTCTGTTTAAGAACAGAGGCAAGGGCGCAGCTTTCACGAGGCCAACCGTCTTGCCTGACCTTAAGATGAAGTGGCTGGCCACATATTCCACGTGCTGTTCACACTGATGGATTCTCTGGTTTCTGACGACGGGCTCTGGACTCCAGAATCAGAATGCTGGGCACTGGGCATGAGCAGCAGCTCAGTGACAACTTCTTTGCCCAAATCACCTTGGATGCCAGCTTTCCAGAAGAATGGGCCGTGGCTCTCAGCAACATCTGAACAGCAGGAGCCCAACAGGCTACGCTCAGCTCTGTTAATGATGACAGAGGGAAGAGTGGCCTTTTATTAGCACTCAGGAATTGATGAATGAAAGCTAAAATGACCTTCTGGGGCCCCTGCATCTCTGGAAATGTCTTCTAGCTCTCCCACCAGGTGCTTCTCCAAGGTGCTTCAGTCAGACGAGCTGGGCCAGCGTTCTGGTTGGCGGACACTTGCCCAGCTGTCATGGTGTGCATTTGCTAGTAACCTGCAGCAACCTCTTCTTGCCCAACTACCACAGCCAGTCTTTGCCTAAAGCTGTGTCTTCACAGATTTCTCCTTGAGTGAGAGAGAAAAACCTTTCAGCCTGAGTAGTGAGCTGGGTGGAGTGGTGACTATCCTGAACCTACGCTGGATGTCATAGCAGTTCCTGAGATCTCGGAAGCTTCTGTTTTCAGTCCACGGGTCTGAGGAAATCAGGGAGGTGTGGGCTGTGGAATGAACTGAAAGCTTGTGCTTTCGCTGGAAACCACGGGTGAGGTTGATATTGAGTCTCGGGTTTGTGGTCCACCGTGTTTCACCATTGCTCCTGACGTAGATTCTAGG